TAGAGTGAATTTAATTGTGGTTGAATGAGAAGTAAATATATAAAATTCTAATACCATATTAGTTTGTACACAAACAAATCTTGTCACACTGCAGCAGGACATAATCATTAAAATAAAAGTACTGTACTTAAGAAATATTTGTATTTCATGAATTATATTATTGCATTTGGCCGCAGCCCTCAAATAGATGTTTATTTTGGAAAAAAGGTTTGGGCACCCTCGATATATGGATATAAACTGAAACAGCTAAAATAGTGCATGCTAAATTTAACAAATTTATTATTTTTATACAATATAGTCATTTATGCATTTTTTGGGGAAATTCACCTCCTAACAAATGTCCTTACAGAAAGTCTAACTGCTCATTTTAAATCAATAATTTTACTTTTAATACTTAAGTACAAAAAATATCAGATACTTTAAGACTTTTACTAAAGTAATATTCCTAAAGGAGACAACATGTTCATTCGTCCCACTGTCAGAGCATTTAAGGTGGAGCTAGATAAATACATTTTAAAAGAAATTAGCTAGACTAGCTATATCAATAAGAAAGTCTGCTGTTAGTTAAAGTAATGCAAAAAATAGTTGGCTCGCTCACTTGTATTTATTTTATTCAACTAGCTCCATAAATGATCTGATAACTACAGTGTTAAACTTCCAGTTTGAGAAAATAAAAAGATGGACCACTTTCACACTTGTGGAGTATAAAATGAAAATAGAATAACCATCATTTTTAATATCTATTTTTTAAATGAAAATGAATGACCAAAAAATACACAGAGCGTCAGTAACAGATCACACAATGGGTCTCATGCAAGAACATGTTCGTATTTTTATCCTAAATTTCTCTTACTTTTGTTCGTACAAAGGGTTCGTACGAACATGTCACGTCAGATTCAACACTTCTATCTTCAGGAAAAGTGTGTAAATGAGCTGCGTAAATTACACCCGTTCTATCCAGCTGCTCGTGCACGCGAGAGGAGATTAACATAATTACCACCCCAAAAACACCATATAAGGCTATGCCTCAGATACAAGGAAGTGTTCATTCATTCATGAAAATGACAGCGAAAACTGAAAAAATAAAAACTTTACGCGTTCAGAGATTGAAGTCCGTCTGTCAGAGATCCAGACAAGAAAATCTCTCATTTTTAGCAGCTCAGCTGTGGAATAAAAAAGAGCTGCTAAAAGTATAAACAACTGTGTTAAATCATTTTCATTTATTCAGAAGCCACAGCGCAGCGCTGCGCACCGTAACCCCCACCCCCCACCCCAGCGCGCTGCGCGGCGCAGGTGGTCTCAGATGCGGGTCTGAAATAAGCATTTTAAAATGTTTTTAAAATAAGTCTGGCACTTTGGAGAAAATCCTGGACTTGATCATATATCCCCTCTGGTCTGGGAACGTCTTGAGTCCCCCAGGACGAGCTGGAAGGTGTAGCAGGGGAGAGGGGGGTCTCTCTGCTGCTGCCCCCGCCCGCATCCGATCCCGGATAGGCGGCGGAAAACGGACGAACGGACAATTTATATTTTAAGTCTAAATTATTACATTTAAAATTATAACTCTAATTCAAGCAGAATAGCCTATTGTCAACATAATTATGGAGTGTGATTTATTTTCAACTCAAAATATCTTCAAACTAACGAAATATATAGTTGTTAGTGAAGAAAACCCGTCTGGATAACAGCAGACTGACTTCACGTAAAATATACGACAGGTCTGGACCACTCGTGGATTTTGTTCGTATCTGAAAAAAATCGTAGAATACGAAAACATTGGTGAATGCCACAAATTCTCCTAAATCACTCGTACGCACAATTTAAGAACAAATCTGTGCGTACGAACGGTTCTTGCATGAGGCCCAATGTCTTTGTTTAAAACTCAAGCTTGTTGCATACTCTGTACAACTGAGAAAATAGCTTGCTTTCTCAAAGTGGCAAAAATAAGGACAAAGTTTGGTCTGGCCATGACATTTTGAATTTCTAGCCAGTCAGGCCATAGTTGTCAAACCCCACAAGAAAAACCATCTTGTGCCCAGATGATGTGGAGGATCTGTGTGAACTCTCAAACCTGGACTGCAAGAAGAAAATTGTCATTCTTTTATCACAGCCCTAAGAAGGAGAACTATTTTCTCTCTTCTTGCAAAGTAGCAGCCTTTTATTGCCATTAACTGATGGAGTCCCCCATTTCTCTGTCAGCAAAATATCTCATGATCCATGATCTTGGAGGCAACAGGTCCAGGAGAGAAACAAATATCCGTCACCCCAGCGACACTCTCCAGTTCCAGCCTGGGGGGGATCCCAAGGATGGATCCCAATTGAGTGATTCCATATTTTTTCCCTGTGCTTGCTCAATAAAAGTAACATTCACTGACTTCTACAATGTTTTCTCTTCATTTCTTTAAGTGTTCCTGAAAGTCAACAAGTTGCACTTTGGAATGACCTTATTATTGTATCATGTTTTTGATCTGAGTTTGTTTTACAGAATGAAATGTCTGAGTAAGTGCTCATGCAAGACTGATGATTCCATACTTTTGGCCAAGGGTTGCATTATGATTCTGGGCCAACTAGAGTTGTGTGCAAAAATGCCTGCAGCATGGAGGAGCAGTGGCTTTCCTCGGATAATGGAGCTCCTCATCTTATCTGTAAAACTGAGTTTGGCTACCCTACAGAGGAAGCTCATTTCAGCTGCTTGCATGCCTCATCATTATACGTTTGCGTTGGAACGTAGACAGGCCAGTAAATCGAGAGCTTACCTTTTGGCTGAGCTACTCTTTCACTACAGATAACCAGAGCAACACCCTCATTACAGCAAACAAGACCCCGATCCATCGATTCATCTCCCACTCCATCCTGCCGTCACTCGTGACCCAAACTCCCACACACATGAACTCTTCAGCTTGAGGCAGACACTCCCAGAGAGAGCATTTAACGTTTTTTCTCCAGTTGAGAGTCGTGGCCTAAGACTTGGAGAAGCTGACTCCTAACCTGTCCACTTCACACTCTGCTATGAACCAACTAACCACACGATGAAGGTCGTGGCCTGAAAACGCCGACAGAACGACTCTCAGAAAGTGAGTTTTGGATGTGCATCTACAACTAATTAACTTTTAAGGTAAACCTATAGAAGACGGCCAAACGTGCTTTACTTTATTTTTTAAGGTTCGGCCATAACAGCTATAACTTCATAATTTTAATGAAAAAGTTGATGTTCTTAGTTTAAAAAATCTGTCATGAAAGGCAGCAGACAATACCCATCCCTTCAGGGAATGCAAGGTGTTTAAATCCTTCCAAGAAATTACTGCAGGTAAATAATGCAGAGCCAATATGGAAGTTTATTTCAAAGGCAGCGAAACTGCTTATTAAATTATGATCCTCTCTCTCTTTTGCATTCGAACTGCTTGTTGTTTCAAGTGGGTCATGTTTTATGTTCTCAGTCTTATTTGCCTCTCTTCAGGATTTTACATATTTTTGTTCGAGCCTTTTTAATATATCAGAACAGAAAAGCCTCTATGCCTGCCCTATCTTTAGCTCAGTTCATCTCATGCTCTGCACAGACCCTTACTGTCCGTGCTTAAGGACAGTATAGAGGCGTCAGGCATTATCTCCTGCCGGTCAGGAAGGCCCTCTCTGTGGCTTTGTGTGCCATGAAAAGCTGTCTGAGTCAGAAGGCGAGATCATTATCTGACGGGGACCGAACAGAAGTGAAGGAGCAGGAGCCGGGCGTATAAGGCAGAGCCTGAGGGTTTGCTTTGACTCATACCCGACATCACAGCCTTTATATTAATCCATATTTAATTAGACTTTCCTGTAGTGCCGCCCTCCCTGCTTGTTTACCTTTTCTGTTGTTTTATGGGAGTCAAAGCGAGGGAAGAGTATGAATAGAAAGTATTCCCATAGTGTTTATGTTAATTAGTGTAAAGATGAGGTAAGGCAAAGCCTAGCGAGGACTCCTGGGACGTAGTTTCATTTTTCTCGCACGATCTTGTAATCTAGATAGCGCTGGTGAGCCGAAACAATACCCGCCGTGTTACTTCAGCGCATCGCTTGTGTAACATGTCAAAAGAACAATCGCTTTTATTGTTGTTATCGAGCTTGTGGATGCAAAGAGTTGCGAGTAACGAGGAGCGTTTTAGTCGCTGATGATGAAGTGATGCAGATCAAGTGGCTGATTTGCATTCGTCAGGTGCTTTTTTTCTCTCTTTCTTTCTTTCTTTCTTTGAAACCTTTAGTTGAGATGACGTTCAGAGAGCTTACCGCTCCGTTAACTTCAAATAAAAGTCATCCCCAGCCTGTCATTGACGAATGTCTCAGGATGACTGACTTTTCATCAGATCCATTATTAGAATGTGCTCTGCTCTGTGTGTGTGCGCTCTGCTGTGGAGTAATAAAGCTTCACAACTCCATTAAACTGTGTGTAAAACCCGTTTTTCCCCCCCACCCCACCCTCATTTCTAAAATGAACACTTCAATCAGAGTGTTGCCTTTGGGACGGGATGGCTGGTGAAGGTCAGTTTAAATTTCGGCGGTATTAATTAGATTCTTTATTAGTCTTTGCCACTGAATTCATCTCCAAAGAGGAACGCTGCAAAAAGGAGCAGCGCTGGCCGTGGTGTTGACTTAATGTCACCCATCCATTTTGCTCTCGCTCCGCTCGGCCTTGCAGGAGCCAGAAAATGGGAGCTCATTCATCACCGGGTTCCTCTGGCTCTGGGCTCCAACATGCATTTAGTCATAGCTCTGGTGACAGACAACGCGCTGGGAAAACAGTGGGCCTCACGCACACACAGGCCTGACTCCTGAACAATTTGTTTGTGAGTGTTGTCAAAACGTCAGAAGGTTTGATTGACTGACAGCAGCCCGGGCATCTGTATCCTGACAGCACAATGTGACACCAGTAAAATTCAGCTGAATGATTTGTGAGCTCATATATTTTAAAACAACCCTTCACCACCTTAATTTTTTTCATGTTTTTTTTTTTTCTTCTTCTTTTCCAAATTCAGAGAGGAATCCCCATCGGACAGTTCTGCAAGGAATTCAATGAGCGAACCATGGACATGAAGGAGGGCCTCCCTCTCCCGGTCAGGATCCACGTGAAGGTGCTTCTCTTTAACCCATCCCTCACCTCTCCACTTAACACCATCCCTCACACGAGTGCCGTTAATTCCACAAGCTGCAAAACATCTCCAACAGCACTTCCATTATTCATACTCCACCACTGAAGAAAGCCTTTCCATTTGCATTCATTAAGGCAGCAATACCCAGAGGAACTTGGAGTCAAGAGGCATTAAACACATGCAGAAGATGTGACTTACTCAGAAAATGAGAGTCATAATTTCTCCACCTTTTATTCTTTCCTCAAACACGTATTGTTTTCGTTTTTTTGACTTCTAGTACCTCCCTCGTGCCTTTTTTTTTTTGTGTTGTTTTAAATCAGAAGCTGTGTCCTCCCAGCTGGCTGAATGTGTGTTTATAATGAGATTTGGGTTGTAAAAAGGGGAGACCTAATCCTTTAAAAGGCATGAATTTACTCTGACATGCAATCTCCAGTAACAGGTCTGGCTCCACAGCTGCAGCGATCCATCAGTGCCATCTACTGGTGGCTTTTAATGGGGTTAAATATGAGCGTTCAACATGTTTACAGCTTTGTTTTCCATTTGTCATTAAAACCATTTATCTTTTCACTTGTAGCGTCAGATGAGAAGATCGATACCACTGATTTATTTAGGTGTTGTAGCTTTAGCATTAGGGTGAGGGGCAACATCTAGTCTCAGTCCATCGTTATAAAAAAAAACACAGATGGTCATCTGGTGATCTCACTGTAGAGACTGTGGGTTTGTGCAGCTCATTTGTATGCTGTGCATTAAATCATTTCATTTGGCAATATTAGATCACTGTGACACCACACAGAATGCAGACGTGATTAAATTTACTGCCAGTAGAGTAAACTGGACTCAGCCCACCTCTCCTGCACCTGTTCGACAGGATTCTTATGCAGACTTGAGGAGCAGAGAGGCTGTTTTCATCCTCTCCCTGCATTTGAGTGTTGTGCTGTAAAACTGATGGCGATGCAGCCGAGCGGGCCGTTTATCAGACTCCACGCTCACAAGACAGCTGAATACATGTCAGAAACAAAGATGCAGACTGTCAGCAAACAAATAAAAACCAGCTCCAGAAACAAAGACAAGCCCTACCCTGACAAGAAATAACGATCCCGTCTTTGACTTTGTTTACTACAGGAAGCTTTTGTAGAGCTTAGGAGGAAGAATCAGTGCTGTTATTGAGTTCAAAAGCAGAAACAACAACAGGGCAGCTAAGACTGAGTTTTCTTACCTCCATATTTTTTCACCTTAACAGCAGCAGGTAGTTACTTTTCCTTTATTTTTTTAACAAACCGGAAACTTATTTTCTATTGAGCCCGTCCGGTGACATTGGATAAAAGAATTAAAGTTAAAATTGCGTGACCACGAGGCAAAAAAAATGTTTATTCAAACAGGGTTCACATGGATCCTTAAAAAGTCTTAAAAGGTATTGAATTCATCAAAAATCAATATTTTAAATATTAAAATCACTGGGGTAACATTTATTTATCTTTTTAAATAATTTACAGAATGCTTTTCGCATCTAGTTGTTTTGTGTTAAAATAAATATTTGGGTAAAATATATAACTAACTGTTTTTTTTTCCATTTGTTTATTGTGAAGTTGGTCTTAAAATTAATTTCAAGTGGCATTAAAGAGGTCCTAAAATGTCTTAAATTTAACTTGCCTTAAGCTGTAGGAGCCCTGTCAATGACCGTGTAAAAAAAATATGTGATGTTCAAAATGGTATGTCTGAATAAAACAGGAATCCCCTGGATTCTTCTTCTTCTTCTGACTCCAATCAGGTTCACAGTACAGCACCCAGCAGGTCTCAGCATAAAACCTTGAGCTGAACCAAAACAAAACACAGGAGCCCTGCTCTGAGCAGAGACTCTGCAACACACTAACTTCTTTCTACTATAATAATGAAATCACCTTAATATGTATTTACACCCCTGGAGGTGTTACCTTTTACTTCAGACGTCAGAACGTAACTCATTTTTGTTTAGGCGAAAGAAAGAACACGTGGTAACACACAACAACTCTTTGTCTGCTTTAACCATAAAAAAATGATCAGAAAGTATAAGATACAATATTGCTTATAAAATTCAATTAATCAGTTACAAAATTTCCTTCAACTGTACTTTTCTGGTTCACATTTGTCATGTTAACCAAAAAGTAAGCTAACCACTAATGTTAACGCTTAATGTGAAGCTAGTTCCGCTATTAGCCGATAAGCAGAACTGTGCACACTACTGCTAACAGACACGAGGCTCTCTTCATAGTTTGTTTTTATACTCGGGGTAATACAGAAAATTAAAATAAGATTAATGGTTGTGTACTAAACTTCATTTAAATTTGTAATAATCTGACATTGTGTTTAACAGAGCTACGTACTGAAATGATGCCGTTCTCCACAGATACAGTTTAAAGGAGAGATTTAGTCATATTTAGACACAGGCAGACGGCTCTTTTTGTTTGTTTCCAGTTTTTGTACACTTCACTGAGCTAATCTCCTCATTTAACTGTTAGTAAGATGAATTACACACAACTCAAATCATTTCCTAAACATTTTGGGGGGAAGTTAACGTCTTTTCTGTGTTCACAGGAGCAGTTCGCTGTATTTTTCACTTTCTCATTTTGCCTGTCAGAAAAAAAACCTCTGCAGTAAACATTTGTTTCACTTAATAAAATACTTCACAACCCCCCCCCCCCCCCTAAAAATCTCACATTGGAGCTTTTACAAACAATAGCTTCTCTTCAAATGAAAAAAATAAAGTTCTGTGTCCTCTGTGGAAAGGTCAGTAGTGTTAGATAACATGACTGATGACAAATCACCGCCTCTCTGGTATCTTCTCCGCTCACTCTACTGTTTGCTTTTTTCATAGCAATTGATCTGAAGTATTTTTCCTACCAGATGATTTATTGACTGGATCATTGTGTCAGTTTTTGGTTTATAAAGGGGTCCACAGCCAGGCAGTGGAGTTAAACTAAAAGAAAGGGGTCAGAGTAACTCTGCGCGGCTGAAGAGATTATTTTTATTTTGGTCCTGGGGGCTCGACGGAAGCGGTGAACAAACGAGCTGATGGAAGCGGGGAGCAGATGTTCAGCAGCGCTCGATGGCAGACAAATAATAATAATAATAAAAAACAGCTCATTGAGTCGTAAAGTTCAGTTTTATTTTATGAGTGATCCATTTTCCATCATCTTCAAAGAGTGGCGGTACATATTTTATATTATCAGCAGATCAAATGGCTGCGTGCAAAACTAAAAGAGGCTTTTGGTGATGAGTCAGTGCAGAAGGACCACTCAGCTGCAGATTGTCACTCTGATTTAGTTGTTTTTTTTTCCTCCTCGGATTCAGTCTCAGAACTGTTTCATCCCGCTGCAGCAGGCTGCGTTGAAGAGGAGCAGCAAACCAAATATTCTGCTGAAGAATATTAAACTGATATTAAACTAAACACAGTAAATCTTAGACTTGGAAACCTCGCTGGATAAATCATCTTGTTGACTTTAAATGAATGTTTCGATGAACTCTCACAGCAAAACCACACAAACTTCACAAGTTTACACTTGATTTGTACGTTTCCTTTGGGGTTTTAGAACATGTTTGTGTGATTATTACATAAAAAATAAAAAAAATATGCTAAATTCATGAGGTTTTTCTGAAAGGGAAGAGAAGCTGAAACTGATGCTTTAAAACACTAAAAACTTCATAACGTCTGTAGTGTAACGAAAAGCTTTTCTTAGTGGTTTTTAATGTCTTTGTGTGGATGTTTGTTTGAAGGATGATAAAATACTGAAGTCATCATAATCACAATATCTATAGCAGTGATTGTTGTGTGCAGGATGAGCACAGTTCTAATAGTGAAACTAGCTTCTTATTTAGCAGGATAGTTTTTTTGCTAACTTTGAAAACCGTTAGCGGAACGATTAGCCTCTGCTAAATTACATTCCACTAGTTTTAAGTCCACTAAAAAATTCACAAGTGTAAAACTTCTATTTTTATGGTATTTATCTCAAATTAAATAAAACTCATCCCCTTTTACAAGCAGTGCTGGTTGTGTCAGCCACCGTGTGCGTAGCATTTAGCATCTTTAGCAGCTAAACCTTAAAGAGCGTCAAAAAGAAATAAAATAACATTTAACCACATTGAAATAACGAATACAAAAATTGACTATGCATAAAATATGGTGAGAAAGTATTTACCTTTTTATTGGGTTCGTGTTAGCAGAGCTAAGATTCTTATTCAGCGGTTAGTGAAGCTAACTTTTTGGTTAGCTGTGCCCACCACTGATTGAATGAAAGTTTGTGTTTGGATCGTCTGAGCAGTAGCTACACATTTCCAAGTAAGTATCTGATTCTTAAAAAGGCTTAAAATTGAATAAAATTGTAAAATAAGAGAGAGAGAAAGATTCGCAAATGGCGTTTCTCATAATCACACAACTTAAAATAAAAAAAGAAACTTTTCAGAAGAACAGAAAATGTAAAAAAACAACACTCTTCTTTAAAGCATGGCTTTCAAGAAACTAAAAATAGCATTTAGTTTGGTTTCGTATCATAAAAAGATTAATTTTATCTAAATATTTTATGGCATTTTGTTAAACAGTCAGAATAATGGATCCTTTCAGAGATTTTTCAAAAAAATACTTAGGCTGATGGTTTTTTTTTTCTTTCATAAGAAGTCTTAGTTTAATGATGTTTGTCTTTGTTGAATATTAGACTACATCAGTCTGCTGCATAAAATACATATAACTTTTAATTTATTTGTCTCTATACAAACAACACCAATATGTACATTTTTGTTTTTAAATTATTAGATAATTATCTTTTAAGGACCAAAAACAAAAAGTCTCCCTTGTGACTGATTAGATATTTTGGTATTTCTTTATTTATTAATTTAATTAAAACAAAGCAAATAATATTATATGCAATATACAATAAAAAGAAAAATATAAAAGAAAAATGAGAGAATATATATCAGAATCACAAATAAAATGAAATGAAAGGCAGCAGAGAGAGGAAAAAAATTCTTAAAATATCTGCCCCTTTTTTCTAGAATACGTTCATATAACTAAAAAAAATCAATGATGTGAGTCATGCTGATACATTAGTGGATTATATCAGAGGAAACTGCAGCAGCTGATAAAATGTTTAAACTTTTTTCTCTCTCTCTGGGTATCCAACAAAGAAGCGATGCTTGAAACGTTGCAACAAACTCAAATAATAAATCTGTCGCTGCTGTTTCTGTGTGAGATGTGACAACAGATGGGTTTGACAAATGTTGGGATTAATTAACAGTTCAGAGAACAAATGGAAAAACTTTTGAAACTTAATCTGTTTTTGGCCCTTAGAGATGGTGGCTCATCTCTGGGGAAATGTCTCAGATCTTTAAATGTTTTCTGCATGCCTGTCTCCTGTGTGTCTCCTCTTCAGCCCGACAGAACCTACGACTTGAAGATCGGAATGCCCACTGTGACTTACTTCCTCAAACAGGCGGCGGGTATCACTAAAGGCGGCACAGGTGAGGCGTTCATCAGCTCAGATGTGATGGGTGGGAAAAGTCAGTCAGTTTTCACCTCTCTTGGGATCGATTCATGACGAGAGAGAGCTGCAGCTGAGACAGAAAAGAAAGTAGAATTATAGATTTCCACCTTTTTGTTCTGAGCTGGATCCAGCTTTGTTTTACCTGCTGGTTTCTAACACAGACACAGTTCCTCATACATATATTGATTTCCTTTTTCTTTTTTTTCTTTTTTTTCGGTTGAAGAGGGGGAGATAGGAGGGAAGGTGTCTGTGAGGGCTGTGTACGAAATCGCACTGGTGAAAAGTCAGGATGAGTGCTTCAAGATAAGGAACACCCCCCTCAAGTTGGTCGTCAAAAGCATCATCGGCTCGGCCCGCTCAATGGGCATTGAGATCGTCCACGAGTAAGTTCCTGTCGTCTCATCTGACTGATGAGAAATAATAAATGATCCTGGTTTATTGTTTCATGGTGCAGTACCCTCAAACCTCCAGTAGAGGTCAGCAGAGGGAGCAGACCTGCTGCTGTAACATTTAGACCAACAGGTAATTACCAATAATTGTAGTTCAGGAGGATAAACTTATAGATTTACTTTCATTTAAACACAATAAAGCATACATTTTGTGTGATCCAAAAGCATTGAAATGACTGAATTTTTTTTTATTATTGTAATTATTGAGGTTTGAGCTAGTCAGACTACATCTAGGCCACATTCACACTGCAGGAAAATGCGTCCAAAATCCAAGTTTTTTTCATGATGGTCTAAATGTGACAAATATATTTTTTATTTTATTTTATTCATTTCAAATTCGACCCATTTTTTTAGTATGTGGTAATAAAATGGTTGCATATCTGATGTTTTTCATAGTTGGAACGTCATGTTGGATTTCATACGACTTTTACGCCAAGTTGCTTTGTCTTTTTTATTTTAAAATGTTCTGTATGACTGAGAATCCACAACACTAACAACACAACACGAACTTTATTGTCGCACCGTGTCGATGCTAAAGTAACTGAATCGATACTTTAGTTAGCTTTACTTTTGTTCCCATTCCGACAATACAAAGCTGCACAGCTGTAGCAGGTCAGAAGCAGCTTCAAACATAAACAGTGGACAAAACAAGAATTCTTTTCAATTTAATTTTTCCTATTTTCATTCATAAAACCAAACAATCTATAAAGAATAAAACAAAAATGACAACAAAAATACCAAAAACAGATTAAAAATACAAACAAATAATAAATCTACTTCATAATTGACCAGCTAACATGCAGCATCCATGCTTACTTGTAGAAACAGGTAAACAAAATACAGTTTTTTTGTTTTAAAGCAGAAACAGTGTGTAACGTACATAATATAAATGTGAAAGTGTGTGTGTGTGTGTGTATTTTGTCCATATAAGCACCTTTTAAATAAGTTGTTGATGGGCAGTAATCTGCAGTAGAGGAGCTCAGAAAACAAATGGATGCAGATATTAATTTCTTTTAGTCGAGTTGATTCAAAGGACTTGAAATAAAAAGCATCTGAACTCCTTGTTGTTTTTCTCTCATCTGAAAATATATTTTCATAGTCTGTATGTAATAAAGGGTCAAAACATGAACTCAGTAAAAGTTTTATTTTAAGTCTTGTTTTTAGAAGTAACAAAACCAGCTTTGTTTCTCTGCAGCTTCATGGATCCCGATATCCCTCAGACAAACACATTATCTTGTTTATTTTTAAATCAGCCACTCGTTGTTGGTATTCAGGCACACGTTTTCCCTCACATAATGAAGTACAGTTTTACCTCCATCTTGCAGCCGCAGCACATTAGGATTTATTGTGAGTTCCCTCGTCGCAGAGATTGGTATCTTTGCCTGTTTAGGAGTGGATTCCTCCCCGGAGGATTGTTGAGCGCTGCT